AGTTTTATTTAAGAAAAGACTTGAATCGCTGAAGTTTCTCGGAAATAATTTCTACGGAAAATTAACAAACGACCTAACAAATTGGTGTCAGAGAGTGGGACAAAAAAAAAGAAAAAAGAAGATGATGGAAACGAGAAGCGGCAAATCAAACTACAACTTAGCAGATTTGATGACAGCAATACAAGAACAGCAAAAGAAACAAGAAGAGAGATTACAGCAGTTGTTGGAGGAAAAGAAAAAAAGCAAGAAGAATGAGAAAAGAAACAAGAAGACAGATTACAGCAGTGGCAAGAAAACCTGCAACAATGGCAGCTCGAACTGCAAAATAAACAAAAAGAGAGATTACAGCAGTGGCAACTGGAACAAGAAAGGAAACAGGAAGAAAATCTCAAACAGTTGCAGGAAAGTCAACAACAGTGGCAAGAAGTACAAATGGAAAACATTAGAAAATTTCAAAGTGAATTACATACATTAAAGGATGATTTACTGTCTTTTACGCAAGGAGGATATATTAGCCATTGACCTAATCAGCCTCAGGCAATAGGAAGCTCCTTCCAGACCCCGCAGATAAACCCTAATGCAGACATCTTCAGTCCAGCCAGAAGTCACATCCCAGATATGAATGTCAGCAATATGGGTGGTCTAGTACGAAAGAAGCCACAGGAATTCGATGGGAAGGCAACATGGGAAGCATATAGAGCACAATTTGAGCTCCAGGCAGAGATGAATGGATGGACAGAGGAGCAAAAAGCAGTATATCTAGCAACGAGATTGAAGGGACAACCACTGGAAATACTTGGACAGTTGTCAGCAGACGACAGACACAACTATAGAGCACTGGTAGCTGCTCTAGAGTTCAAGTATGGAACCCAAAATCAGTCTGGAGTCTACAGGGCTAGGTTTAGGACGAGAGCCCGTGCTAAACGAGAGAGCCTGCAAGAGCTGGCACAGGATTTGGAAAGTATGGCACACAAGGCCTATCCAATTGTGCCATCCGATCTCCTCAAGTTATTGCTGAGGGATCAGTTTGTAGATGCCTTGTACAGTCTACAACTGAAGATACAAGTGAAGCAAGCACATCCCTCTACTATGCAGGATGCAATGGCCAGAGCTCTTGAATTTTAATCCTACGTTAAGTCCAACACAGAGGTACCAAGGTTGGTACAGTCGTCCCGAACAATAACCACTTACATTAAACCAATAGATAATTAACAATAACTTATTTAAATGTACAGACTTTACAAACACAAAATTAAAATTCAACAAAGTCTCTTAATTTTATGGGACGCATCTTCTTCCGTACTGGTCTCCATCTCGTTGGCTTCTGCTTCACGTGGGGTTCATTTGCTCCATCAGGAAAAGTCCTATTATTGGTAACAGTCACATAAGTGGTAGTAACTTCATCAAGGGCTTCACTGTTTTCCTTCTCAAACCGGGTAGAGTTTCTTCTTCGACAGTGGCTATTTCAGGTGACACGTTATCACCAGCATCAGTTGTTCCATAGTTCACTTCATTCCAACTGAAATGTCCTGGACAGTGATAATGCCAAAGCCTGTTGGCATGC